GAATTCTTTTTCGTTTTTATGTGACGCAAACAATTTCATTGTGACCGTACACGTGTACTTAATTCATGACCAATAAAACGCTAGAATGATGGGATGGTCACTTACAAGACCAGCGTGGGTTTGCGCCATATTTGAATGAGTCCTACGTGGGTTATGTCTACAAAGAATTTTGAACACGGAAATCGGTTTCGATTTGCTCCCTTGCAGGTTGAGCACATAAAGCTTAACGTCATATCGATGTCATGAACGCAAGGGAGAAACTATAGGTGTATCTTTTAACGGGATTTACAACCCCCAGGGTTGCGTTTCCACGTTAAAAGGTTGTATTGTGCGAGTAGATAACTATATAATGAATTTGCAATGCTGTCTACATGTTCGTGATGTAAAAGGGCCGTTCTGTAAACAAATCACTACATTAACTTGGTAGAACTTGGTATTAATGACAGATGAAATAATGCCACATGGAAGGTCAATACCTGAGTTGAAGAGAGAAATGTTCCAGAGCCATGCATCTGTGGCATCATTGTCCATCCCTTCTTTGTTCTGGCATCAAAGGGCTGCCGTAGGTTTAACCATGTGTAAAACGTCGGACGTTCCCCCAGATCAAGCTGACACACTGCTTAAATACTGTGGAATATTGTATAGAGCAACTCGGGATTCCAAAGCTACGTCAAAAAAGAAATACCTACATGTACCATGAGAACCATTATCTATGATACAATCATGGAAGGTTTATCCTTAAAGGAGTTTTTGTGCGTCAAGTGGAACTGATAGCATTCGGATTCTCAAAATCTTGAAATAACAAAGTTCAATGTTTTAACTTTGTTTCCCACATGACAGTTTTACATCTTTGTTCGACATAACAGACTGAGGAACACTTCAGGCCTTGATCCATGAGGCATTAGTCCAAACATATAGCTAGCCTTGTAGATACCTATTTCTTCAGGATTCGGATCAGTTTGTCATTAATGAAACAAATATGTCTTTAGAGAGGCAGGGAAAACAACTGTGTAAAACGTTGGATTTGCTGAAGTTTGTCATAGTCTGGGGACGGTTACTGAGAAGTAAGCATTCAGAAGGGAGACACAAGTGTACCCCTGCTTGTTGATAGGTGTCTAAGTGCATATGAATCAGAATGGGATTCAGGCCAAGAAGCTTAGTTTCGATTTGATCCACTGATGGCAACAAACTATTCATAAGCCTGTGTGACAATAAAGACGACTTCAAGTTTCCCTTCATGTTCATCAATGTTTCAGCAGCCATTGGTGTCTCCATTTCACAATGTTAAGGTTCAATGGAGCAATCGGCTCTGTCTGTTAAGATTTCAAAGAGCACATCATAAGACTCTAGTTTAAAGGAGGTTGGATAAGTGTGACACCAAGGTCTCAGTGAATATTTTAGAAAGAGTCCATGGTAGACATGTCAAGTGCATTTCTAACTTAACACATCAGTGACCGAAATTATCTCCGACACATTTTAGTCTTCTACCATGTGTTCGCGTGTTTTTTGTATAGACGAATACTTGATTTGCCTTTGCACGTGTTTGTGACGGGTATCCATGGGTGGGCGAGACACGCCTGGTATCGTCACTATTTGACAGTGATTCAAAAACATAGTCATAGTAACATAACATACTCAAAAGCAAAGTTGTGTCTGCTTTCAGCAAGGGAAAGGGTTTTCTTGATGTTATTTGTAAGAGTCTAGTACTCTTCGTGTGTTGGGGGTAGACGTGACGTGTCATACAATTATTCAGTCCTTCCTCGTTATGGACTTTGATGATTAATTTCTCTAAGCTTAGAACGCATCGACTGTCTTGTTAAAAAAAGTCACATCGAACCCTGATACATTTCTCACTGAAACATAAGAAAACAGCTGCTTGGATCATATGATATTCGTACAAACCATATTAAAATAGCACATATCACATTTAAAAATATTACATTCCATTACATGGAGGTCAGATAGACAATGGTCTTCATCACCGATGTCTTGATGTTAACTGTTTCGTGGATACTTCACTCAGTGCACTGCCTCCGATCCAGCCAGTCGTTGTCCCATCCCTTACTTGCCGACCGACATCCTTACGGCAGTCGGCATGACACCCCAATCACCGTCGAGATTGGAAGCTATGTACAGAAATGTTAACGAACGTTTGCTACTCTGATGGGAAAGAAACTTGTTGTCATTTCTTCGATTCTATCGCATCTTTGAGTTTCACAAGTCGTTTCACCCAAATAAACATCGGAGAAAGATGGATTGGATAGGTTTCTTTATAAATAGATACTACGTACATAGACCTGAACGTGGTTGTGCATGGCATCATGTGATGTACCGTTGCCTGGTAACGCAGTAAACACGCGGCAAGGAATGGAGGATGCTTGAGACCTAAGGGGCGAAACGACAATTTATCAGCAGATCGATTGAGGACTGTCTATCAACTTTATACAGTCCTTGATAGAGATGGTTATACAAATGGACTAGAATCAATTTGCGTGTTTTCTGTGTTGTCAACATAGGAAAACAGCTGGATACACGTCCCTCGGCCTGTTTCACGATACAGTCATGTGAACAGTCGTGCTTATCAGTCCTCAGAGTATTACTGGTAATACGTTATGTGGTATTCTTGACTGAACGGTGCTTCAACAGCCGACAAAAGACGTCGTAGTCACGTGTTCATAGCCACAGTTCAGGAGTATGACGGCCATATGATCACGGGTAACTTCATCAGAACTGACGAAGTAATAATGGCATCAGTAGTATATGTGTAAAAAGACGTCCATAGCTATAGTCCGTTTGGCTCAAAAGCGGACCGATGAATTGCAATCTAACTCGAAAACTAATAAACATAACATACTCAATGAAACGCTGATCATAATCAAAACATCATACCCACTCTGTGAGGTTTTTGCAGAATTTTTGTCCTAAAAATAATAAAGTTGTTTAACAAACTATCATTAAAAATATTGACACAGTTCACTGTTTGTTACGAGGGAGGAGTCCAGCGAAAGGGACAGCCAGGTGTTCGAGAACGGATGGAGACGGCACAGCACAGGTTAATGAATAAATAACTTTGTCTGTGAACGTGCTTCTCGAACACCTGGCTGTCCCTTTCTCTACACTCCTCCCTCGTAACAAACAGTGAACTGTGTCAATATTTTAATGATAGTTTGTTAAACAACTTTTTATTTTAGGACAAAAATTCTGCAAAAACCTCACAGAGTTGGTATGATGTTTTGATTATGATCAGCGTTTCATTGAGTATGTTATGTTTATTAGTTTTCGAGTTAGATTGCAATTCATCGGTCCGCTTTTGAGCTAAACGGACTACATGTATATAAAATAGTACATATTATCTGATGCAATGTCTGCTTATTGTACCTGACGAGGCAGTCAGTTGACGGCTGAGCTAAGCCTCGATAACAACACCACAAACGTTTGACGTTTCTACCAATGACGTACATGAATTACTAAACACTGACATCAATACACTAATTATAATTACTGCTCGCTATCTCCTTCTTTAACTTTCAGGTGTAGAATATACACTCTTATAAAAAGAATCGCATAAGCCATTTTAGATGAATTTATTGCGGTAGTTTAAGAGCAATTATGTCATGTAATGTCAATAGCATAAAGTCTGTAGACTATGAATTCGCCAACACAACATCAGCCTTTATTGTTGTGTTTCTGTTTACTTGATGGCGTCAAAGCCAGTACTTTGTCCGGCCACCATAGGCAACAATTGGATAAGTCGACGAAGTCGCTCTTGCGGAATTCTTTCCCTCTCCTCACGCAATGCAATGGCCAGTTATGGAAGTGTCTGAGGCGTGTTTCGACGTTGACGTACACGTCGATCGAGTTCATCCCATAGGTGTTCTATCTAGTTTAGTTCTGGTGATCGGGAAGGCCATGGCAAGACATTAAGGTTAGAATTGGCATGGTAGCGGACCTCTACGCGTGGTGTTGTATGTCAAGTGAGCAACCCGGGTGTAGAGGTCATGAGCTTCTCGGGGGGATCTTGGGCGGAACTGGTCTGCAGGAAACGATCCCAAAGACGAGATATGGTGTTCTGATGATGTAGTGCAACTGCAGACTACGACTCCCCATCTTCAAGGCGGCCTATAACGATTTTCGATTGGCGGTACTCAGTCGTGGCATGATGATTCAGACTGTCTACTGTCATGATCCAGACTGTCTACTGTGACTATCCAAACTGTCTACTGTGACCATCCAGACTGTCTGTGGTGTAACAATGTCTCGATAACCAACGTCGGTTTCATTCTGCTTGTCACGCGCATAATGTGAAACTCTGGGCTCCATCATTTGGATGCACATGTTGAAAATACATTATAGTATAGTTTGCACTCCGTTACTTTTTCACAAATGCATTATGTTTGCCAACATGAACTTGAGTGCCTAGTACAACCCCTGTTAGCTGTCAATATCCTTCATTAACTATTCCGTTCTGGGTTAGATGTGACAATGACCATTGCCGGATACCTTAGTTACAAAGATATGGAATGGAATGAAGGATGGTTGGGAGCGTCCATTTGATTTTTACTTTAATTCTAACTAACATATTTTATTCATGGAAGAAAAGGATTGGGCACAAGTTATCCAACTTAATGAAGCCCTCTCCCATAATTATTAATAGGGTTGAACAGGTAAATGGTCTGATAAATGCATATGCTTGACTTTTGAGGTTTGTGGAATCTCATATTCTTCAGGTCATTGTAGACGTAGCACTCACTGTTTCTCTATGTAAGCACTTGAGGTTTCACTTTGAGTTTACAACAATAAGATGTAAATGGAACGTCGTTATTATCAGAACTCTCTGCTACGATTAGCAAACTTCGACATTATTCCTTATTCGTCCGTTCTTATACGTCATGACAGCTTTGTAACCTTACAAGATCGATGAATACCACGCATGCGCAAATAGTCAATTAGAGTTTTAGAGTTGTGCGGCTGTGCCTGCACCAGTAGAAGACGTCAGCATAATGAGATCGATGTGAGAGCAGTTATCACGGACATATCCTTACATCTGCACCTTTTGCTTTGCCGCTGGAAGACAATGTAGATATATTGTGCGGCCCATCCCATCATGGCGCCTCCTGTTTCGCTTTATGGACTTTTGTGTCTCCTATTCCTTGGATTTCAAGGTAAAAGTAGTACGATATACCTAAAGCTGTCATTGTATGTATCAATACTAACCTTAGTATTCGTTCAGTAGTTCAACTCCTGTTGGGAAATGTATAACTTTGTCAAGCGACGATTCAGGACAGACTTCTAAAATTGACACTTTGCAATCTGACAAGCAACTTATCTTTTTAAAACTATTACTTTAAGATCTCTACAGCCATCAAAATGTGTTTCGTTTCGAAACCTAATCTAAATACTTAAAACTTTGTTTTAGCAAAACAGTACTTCTGATATTTCAAAGCATCTTCTCTTTGCGTTCAAACTATTGTTATCCCCACGGAAGTCATGTTGGCATATACTTTTTGAAGATTTAATTGTAAAAATGTTCAGTCTCAGTTATCTGCCGAAACAGATTACACTGGGCGTAAAGACCAAATAGTTGTGGAATATACAAAAACACCAGTGAAATCTGTGATGAAGCAAGGCGTTTGAGAAAGTTAGGCGTGTCCTGCTCTACCGACAGTTTTGCCTACTACAATTGGTACATAAAGTAAGTGTTTATTGCCGAACACCTAACGTACTTCTGCTAGTGTGTCGACGCCATGTAACCTATTGAGTTTGGATCAGACAATCAAGTGATAGCGGATCAGGAGATCTGATAATTCGTTTACTGCTTTCTTGAAACATAAAACGACATGGTAAGTAGGAATTACGCCTGCTGCGTAGAGTAAACAATTAAGAATTTTGTGAAGAAAAAGGTAAAGTACAATAGGAAAATACAAATTTATGTATGTTAATATCGCATGTATAATACCTTCATTATAAAGAGGAAAGTGCACTAAAGCGTAGTACTGAAACAGTCTGAAGTTACTTCGGATGGCGACATCGAAAGTCTTATCGATTGTCTACCCGACCCCAACATCCGGGGGTCTTGTCTCATTGCATCTCCATGGACACATGAACGTTCCAGTGTGAGTTCCTGCTGATATGAAATATTGATGCTTCCTTGCAGTATGACAATAAAATGTTCGACTCCCCGGATCAGCCTTCATGTCAATAATCGATTCCTTCCTCTGTACCCAGAATTCAAAACAACGTGTTATCGATTTTATGGATTGTCTTTCTGTTTCCTATTTCATCGATAAAACACGCGGAAGATATTACACATATGATATTTGATATAGTGCACATTTTATAAATTATAATTGCGTATAATATTTTTATCTCATCCATAATCATCTACTGCTTGTTGTTTAACGCTGCTTTAAGCGATATTCCATCTATGAAGGCGGTGTCGGGAACAGACAATCCAGTGGTTGACATTATGAGCGTCAATCTCAGACCAGTACATTAATCCTAAATCAAATTGGCTCCTGAAAAGTCACAAACACATTTTCTTATATTAATTTTATTGCTGAAATAATATGGGGGCAAATCATTTTCATTAAGTCCAGGTTGAAACTTTGTTTTGTGGCCGCCGCCGCGTGACATGGGACCTGGGGTGGCAGTGGGTCATCGTCTTGTAAATACCGATTTCTTAGCCAAATTGTGTGAATAGCGGGTGCTACCGGTAAGGCAGGACCCTCACCTGTTGTCATCACTGATTTTCAGAGATCCACCCTTTCATTTCCACAGCTATTTTCCTCTCTGTGCCAAATGGAATCTGTATTTAGGAAACAATGGGTAATTTGTACTGAGTGAGCGAGTGAGTAAGGTTTTACGCCGCTTGTAGCAATATTCCAGCAATATCACGGCGGGGGACACCAGAAATGGGCTTAACACATTGTGCCCATGTGGGGACTCAAACACGGGTCTTCAGCGTGACGAGCGAACGCTTTAACAATTAGGCTACCCCACCGCCCCGTTATTTGCACTGAAGTTATAGATTTGATATATGTATTGAAAGAGTTAGATAATACTATTATGAACACTTAATCATTCTAGCCTTTTCACTTTGGCGTCATCACTGAACTATAATAATACAATTTATAATCAGTTGGAACATGGTGTTCTGGCTGTATGTTTAGTGTGTATAAAGCAAATACTGGGCACATTTGACTGTATACGAGTTAGCTGTGTTGCACCAAGGAAAGGGTTTTGAGTACTCTCCGACATGCTTACCCTGGTGGTGTCATCACGTGATCGGGGGAGGTCGGGTAGCCTAGTGGTTAAGGCGTTCGTTAAAGGGTTCGATTCCCCACTCATTTCAGTGATCGAGTCGTATAAACGTCACCACTATTTCTAAATTATCAACACCAATCCTTCTCTTGTACTGATTCTATATTTTCTAATTATGTTTAGGATCTAAGATGCCGATAGAGACAACCATCCGCCGAAACAAATCTGTGGCTTAAAAGGCGAACTATTGGTTAAACTATGTATATGCATGAGTCACAGAAAAACATTGACGAAAGAAACTTGGAGTTAGGAGTTCATAACGCACTTACATTAAATAATACTAATAATATTTATTTAATAAATACTTACAGAATCATGTTTAAGAACCTAAGCATGTTTACGATAAAGAAAAACAATACTATGAAGAAGGTTATTGAAATGGGACACTGTCTACTGTCAACTCTGAAAGTAATACTTTCAGTGCTCGTTCACATATCATCTATCAGTACAAATCTACTCCGGATTGTCAGTGAAATTGCTGGTTTTCATTTCACTTTGAATATTACAACATCATACAATAAATATCAACTAAACTGTGACAATCTGATATCACCTCTGTTGGATTCATGAATATATGTTTATGATATTGTCAGAATCCTGTAATAGCAGGTATTCTTACGATTATTGGGGCGGTAGCCTTGCGGTTAAAGCGATCGCTAGTCACGCCGAAGACCCGGGTTCGATTCTCCACATGGGTTCAATGTGTGAAGCCCATTTCTAGTGTCTCCCGCCGTGATATTGCTGGAATATTGCTAAAAGCGGAGTGAAACTAAACACACTCACTCACTCTTATAATTATGGAAAGAGGAGTATTTATGAACCTAGAAACCCGGTGTATAACACATTGCATACTATACTCGGCTACTTGATATCATGTTACCACATTTGGCAAAACGAATGAGAGTGTGAACATCTTTCGATCCTAAATATGTTATATTTTAAATAAAAACTTCAAACACGTTCAGAAGTAATATTTTTGACATCACAACTTCACATTCGTTAGGCGATGATATTTTCAATAAAGTGATTACTCAAATAATGACAGGTAAGTAGGTGAATACAAACTGGCACACATGCAATTAAGAAATCAAAAGACCCGGCACAATTTGACACGAATAACACCACTGTTCAATATCATTCGCAATCAGACGATGGCGGCACCGAAACTTTCAGAATGAACAATTGAAAGTGGCAACAGAGATTACAAAACTTTATGCATGATCAACTTCTTATTTTCACAACAAGCATCATTACCGAAACGTCGCCATTGTGAAAATACAGAAGTTGATCATTCATAAAGTTTTGTCATCTCTATACCACCAACTTCTAGAATGCCACTCAAACAAACACACACACCAAAAAAAAATAAAAAAAAAATAAAATAAATAAATAAATAAATAAAAATAAATAAAAAAATGAAAGTGGCAATACAGTGTATTTACTACTTTGGGATTTCAAGAGATTAGGAGGTACCAAAACAAGGGCACCGAGTACAATGGGGAGCCTGACGACAGTGTACTTGGGATGCAAGCGAGACATTTGAAGGCGAGGTCCGCATATTAATCATGCTTTTCCTGAATCTTGTCAATCACGTTGCTGTCAAAAGGGACAGAAAATTCAATGATATAAATAAATTCATTGGCTTTATCAAAAAGGACAAGATCAGGTTTGTTGGCAGGAATTCTTCTGAGGCTGTATATGGGCCTGTTCCAAAGACTTTTGAAAGCATCCTTTTCCATGACGCCCTGGACATGTTCAGGGTCGTACCATGGATGGACCTCGGAGTCAAAGCCACAGGCATGGCGAAGACGGTAGTAAAAGCAACGAGCCATGCCATCATGTCTCTTAAGATATGCTGTTTGTGCCAAGGAAGGGCATCCACTAAAAAGGTGTTGGACAGTCTCTGTAAATTCATTGCTATTTTTATTATTATTATTATTATGTTTTACAGATTAAAAATTGTATGCAGCAGAGAGGGTTCGGGTGATCCTGGCACAGTCAGGCTGGTAAGGCTCATCATCAGCTCAGGGCCCTTGCCCCCTCTACACGCAGCCCAGACAGCGAATGGGACTTCTCCCAGGAAACGCTGCCTAGTCGAACCCACCAAGAACTTTCCGGAGAATATGGAGGCTCCCCAACACTGCAGCCTTCTGCATTACCCAGAGTGTCAGAAGGGCTGTGCTCCCGGTGGAAAACCCGGGCACTCTCCTGATCTGCGCCAAGAGATCAGGAGGTACCAAACCAAGGGCACCGAGAACAATGGGGAGCCTGACGACAGTGTACTTGGGATGCAAGCGAGACATTTCAAAGGCGAGGTCCGCATATTTATCATGCTTTTCCTTAATCTTGCCAATCACATTGGTGTCAAAAGGGACAGAAAATTCTATGATATGAATAAATTCATTGGCTTTATCAAAAAAGGACAAGATCAGGTTTGTTAGCTGGAATTCTTCTGAGGCTGTATATGGGCCTATTCCAGAGAAGTTTGAAAGCATCATTTTCCATGACGCCCTGGACATGTTCAGGGTCGTACCATGGACGGACCTCGGAGTCAAAGCCACAGGCATGGCGGAGACGGTAGTAAAAAACAGCGAGCCATGCCATCATGTCGTTTAAGATATGCTGTTTGTGCCAAGGAAGGGCATCCACTGACAAGGTGTTGGACAGTCTCTGTAAATTCATTGCAAAGTCGACATTTCATGTTAATATTCTCTTTAAGAATCACATTTAGGCGATTACGAGTGGGAAGTGACTGGTCCTGAGCAGCAAAAAGGAAGCCCTCAGTTTCACATTTAAGACCAGCCGACTTCATCCAGGCGAAGGAGTCGGTGGGATTGCTATTCTGTTCCACACACTGCATGTACACACGATGCAATGGCTTCTCAGAAAGCTTCTCCACAAAAGACCGACTCTGGGCAGACTTGGTAAAGGACTTCACCTGGTTTACTCCCATCGCTGTACCGTCCAGCAGTACATTGCCTTCAACAAAGTCAACCTCAAATTTCAAATTCTGTCCAACAACCTTGGCACGCTTAAAATAGCTGTGGAATTCCTTGCTTTCATCATGAGTCTTCACATGCATCACCAGAGGATCATCCGATAAATAAATATGTGCAAAAGTACACAATAAAATTCTGTCATGAAGAGCCTCCACATTAATCAAACCCCGACCTCCAGAATTGATTGGCATGTATAAACGGTTAAGAGAGGAACGAGGGTGGTGGGCTCTGTTATCAGACATGATCCTTCTGGTCAGACGGTCAAGACTCTGGATGTCTTGTTTTGTCCAATCAACTACTCCAAAGGAATAGGAGAGGACTGGCACAGCAAAAGTATTGGTGGCTTTGACCTTGTTACGAGCATTTAGCTCTGAGCTCCAGATTTTCTTTAAACGAGATTTATACTCGGCCCGAAGTTTTTCTTGAATCTGGGCATTCTGGAGCTTGTCGCGAACTTGCATTCCAAGATAGGTGTAGGCCTGATCTTCCACAAGATGCTCAATAACTCCTCCCCCTTGTAACCTGACCGATCCATCATTAGTTACCTTGCCACGTTTCAAATGAAGAGTATTACATTTGTCGAGTCCAAATGTCATACCAATATCATTAGAAAAGGACTCGACAAGGAGAACCTGCTCTTTCAAATTGGAATCTCCTTTGGCAAGGAGTTCGATGTCATCCATGTAAAGGAGATGAGTAAGAGGTGTTGGGGATCTGTGCTGAGGAGGTCCGGGATGGTAACCCTCCTCTTTATTGAGCAGAAAGCTCAAAGGATTTAAAGACAGACAAAAAAGCAAAGGACTAAAGGAATCCCCCTGAAATATTCCCCTTCTGATTGGAATAGATTCCGAAGTCTGCACCTGCCCTTGTGAGTACATCTCAAGTTGAGTTGACCAGCAACTCATTAAAGACTTGAGTAAATCAAGTAGTCGCTCAGGGAGGTCAATACAATGAAGAGACTTCAGAATCCATTCGTGAGGGACAGAGTCATATGCTTTTTTGTAGTCAATCCAGCACATGGAGAGGTTGCGGTGATATGTTTTAGCCTCTTCCAAAATCATTTTCTGTACAAGAAGTTGATCCTTGCACCCCCAACATCCCTTTCTTGCCCCCTTCTGCTCTCTGTAAATTATATCATTGGAAGAGCAGTAAGATGACACGAGGTTTGTCAAACACCCTGTGAATATTTTGTATTGTGTATTCAAACATGTGATAGGGCGGAAGTTTTGGGATCAGTCAAGTCTCCTTTCTTGGGGAGAAGTATTGTGCGACCTTTGCAGAACCATGGAGGAACATCACCTGTGTCCACGAGAGTATTGAAACAGTGCAGTAATGGTGTTTGGACACAGGGGAACAGTTTCCAATACCGGTTTCGAATGCCATCAGGCCCTGGAGCTGTATTAGATTTGGACTTTTTTATAACACTTTTCAGGCAATCTGGTGAGATGTAACAGACAAACGACCTAGTTACCTTCTCATGCATTGCATGATCATAATCACGGACCCATGGTGCCTCAAGGTTACAGTTGCCGGGTACAGACCACAACTGTTTCCAGAACCTTTCATTGGCATCCATGGGAGGCCGTTTGTCATGTTCACCATCACCTTTTGTTTTCAGTTGCCTGTAGAAGTGTTTTTCATTATTTCTAAAAAGTTTATTTTGTTTGATGAATTTATTTTTCTTTTCCCATTTTTTCTTTCTTTCAGTCCAAACCTTTATTTTGGCCTTAAGGGAATCGACAATTTGGAGAAGTATCTTTTCTTTTGTTGTCTTGTATTGTAATTTTAATTTTCTCCAAATTGCCTTTTGCCGTTTTGACATTGGACTCCCTGATGATCTTAACTTCAGGCACAGTTCTATCCAGGAAACGTATTTTCTAGTTTCCGTTAGTTTTACTTGAAACCGGTTTTTCTTTGGTGTATTGTTCTTAGTGTTAGATGTTTTTTTCTTTGGAAACTATGTGAATTTCCTCCAAGGTTCGAGCAGCAGCGTAGACACAACAATTAACTTCATGTAATGAACAGTCCTTTGAAATTATTATTATTATTATTATTATTATTATTACAGTACAGATAACCTCTCCTTTGTCCTTTCAGGAGTCCATGCAGCCTTGTCTGGTGCAGATATCACCGGGGACACAGATGGTTACTTCTTCCTAACGAACAGCGGCTGTACATGCTGTGCTACGGTTACCGTGACAACTACTGGTGGAGGATCATTTACCATAACCAAAGATGGAGCTAACATCGTGACATATACTGTTACGGCTCCTTCTAGTGATGTAACATTGCCTTGTACGGCCATCGGAAACGCACCTGGAATGTACACTGTCACCATGACCGTGACACAAGGAGGAAACTCGCACACCGAAACCATGGTGGCAGTGTACGAGCAGACGTTGGTTGGCTACTCTGTCAGTGCAAGTCAGGTCATTGCTCCTCCATACACGGAAATCACATTCGACATGGCAGTGTCGCAGGGTACCAATGCCTTGTTCACCGTGGACTGTGTCACCAACATCCAACTGATGAAGTCCTGTGATGGGAACACACGAACAGCAACCTACAGTCAAATGTTCAACGATACCGGCAGCCACGTCATTACCACGATGGTGTCCAACTACGGAAGCAAGTTGAGTGAGGTAGTCGTGGTGACTATCATCCATAATATGAACAATGTAGCTATAACTATAGGAAATAACAAACCACAAACGACCGAGGACCCAAACATCAAGGTGACGATGGCAAGTGGAGCCCAGCTACCGATGGGTAACCTGACAGGTTGGCACACCTGTACATCAGACGGATCTCCTGAAGTTGTCGATCTCAGTGGTCTGACAGCTGGTGGTGAGGTAGCTGTACCGTGTGTTTGTAGCACCCAAACCAACAAGACCGTCACCGTCAATGTGAGTACAGAACTTGACTCCATCCAAGAAACCTACGATATCTATTGCTGGGACATGCTTAACATAACTGTTACCCTCGACAAGGACGTGCAACCTATTAATGACGTCGTACCATTTAATATTGAAAACGTTCCCAATTATGGAATTCAGTGGAATATTGATGCATGCCAGAATATACAACTAACAAATACTGAGTCATCGAATTATGGCAGCCTTTACACGGCTAACCCTGTGGACCTCAGCAGTATCATTTACACAGAGATAGGGAACTGCACTTTTCATGCAACGTTCTGGAACGAGATGTACATTGTTGTTCTTGATCTCACCTTCGAGCTGAGTATAGGAATAAACAATCTCACAGCTGTACCTAGTGCGCTGGAGTTGCTGACAGGTGAAGTTTTCACCGTAACTGTTAATGCAACAGGCTTAGACATCTTTTGGGCTGTTGATTTCACAGAAGCAATGGTGGTTCAAAACGGGTGCTCAGGGCTTGTCGCAGAACACAATTTTACATCTGCTGCAATGTACACCATTGAAGTCATGGCATCAAATAGGGTCAACAACAAGAGTACCTCTCTCGAAATTGGCGTAGTATACCCAATAAATGGATACACTGTTACATTAACAGCACCCACAATCCAGTCTTATGAGAACTTGGAAATCAACGCCGCTCTTAGTGCATCGCCAAGCATCCCAATGGGAAATCTTACAATCACAATATCTCCCTGTGGTGATGCGGACTCTAGAGAGTATTTGCCTGTAGCTGCTGGTACTACTGAAAAGTACAACTGCAACTTCACAAAACAAGGTAACTACTCTATTGATGTTACAATCGCATCTCTTGTTTCTTCAGAAAACTTTACAGTTGAAGCTTTCGTCTGCGACAACTTGGCAATAACCATAGATGTAGACAAGCCCGACTGGGCTGTGGGAGATATGGTGAGTGTCAACATGAACACTCTACCATTGTCTGGCTTCAAATACAGAGTCGACATGGGAGATGGTTCCACCATCCACTCAAATGAGGCAGATTCTGTTTTGGACGGCTTGAATACCTTTACTACAATCCCATCACAGGCCTACAATGCACCAGGAATATACACCATCAACCTTTATGCATATAACCATTGCTACTCTGTAACTTCATCGGCAACTATTGTTGTTGAATATGGGATCCCTCCATGCAACTTAGCGGTAGCACCAAACCGAAAATTAATTACGCCGGATGACACAACAACCTTCTCGTTTGTGACTCAATCGGGATCACCAGCGAACAATCCAACCAACGTTACGTGTACGTGGAACCTAGGGGATGGGACACCTGTAACTGATCAGCTCACCAATATGGATTTCGGCTCCAGTGCAACGGGTTACGTCATAACACACGACTACACCACTGCAGAGGGATCTGTGAACTACCAGATAGATTGTCAGAATCGGGTCAGCAATGTCAGTTTTAGCGGGACTGTTGACGTGGTGATTGTACGGGCAGCAGATTTTAGTGTCGCGTTTGCACCTGTTACTCCGTTGCCTGAAGGAACATGCACTAGCTTTGATATTACTCTTGCCTTTCACAATATATCAACAGTGCCAAATAATGTAACGTACAAGGTCGACTACGATGACGGCAATGGGGTATCACCAGAAACTGCCCTTTCCACATATGTTGTTCCTAAAAGCCTCTGTAAACGTGGCGCCTACACCAGCGGAGTTCTGACTGTTATCTATGACGGTGTGTCAGAAGCTAACCCCATATCCTATTCCTTGGGAACTTGTTCACTCAAATTGGTTGGGTCAACGGTCATGGGACTTGTAGGATCAGACTCCTTCAGTTTCACACTTGCGAATCACCTAGCCACAGAACAAATAACGGTCACAATAGACTGGAAAGATGGAAATACTGAAGATAAGACGCTGACTGGTGGGCAGTCTATGTCTGTCACACATACCTTTGGTACACATGGTTACAAGAAGCCTTCATACAGTACCACTACCAGCTTGGGTAGCGATGGAGCTTCACTGGAAGAGGAGCTGTACGTCATGTATCCTGTGGACAACCTGGAGCTTGAGATCCCAGAACCGATTCTCCTTGGCGTGACCATTGAACCGAACATAAAATACAGCGGAAGTAACTCCTTGATAAATGTAACCTGTAACGTTACATATGACGCAACTACCAATGAACTTATGACAGGAGTTGATCTAACACCTACTAGTAACATTGCAACAGCAGTTGGGAACATGTACATGGCTATCCAAGAGGAAACTATAACCGTGGTGTGTTCCAATCCACTCACCAGCAAAACATTGAATGCTACTTTTGAAGTTTCAAGTGACTGCTTCCTGGCTCCAGACATATTTGAGTCGATACACCGACGGATTGACACGCCGATGAGAGTCTACAGATCTTCCTTGCCCACACTTACAGCTCGTGTAAAACTATCTGATAAATGCAAGAACACAACAGAGTTTGACTTTCAGTGGACGTTCCAGAAACAAAATCCTGTCACCCTAGTATTTGAACCCTACACTACTATAGAAACACCAAATAAGATTTCCATGAACCTCGCCACCTCTTCGATTGAAGAAGGGTTCTACTTGATTCAACTTTACATGAAGTTGGTGCAACGTGAGAATGACTATCTGCAAGACAAACAGTACATGAAGATTGTTAATCCTCCGCTTGTGTGCAGTATCGTTGGTGGAGACTTCACTATGCATGGGAGAACAGAAACACTTGTTCTTGACGCGAAAACTAACTCTTACGACCCTTTAAATGGAATTAATCAGAGCCCCGGGCTGGACTTTTCTTGGGCCTGCTTTGTGGTTGGCAACTGCGAGGATGCAGAGGCATATACGTTGCCCAAGAGTACCGACAAAAGCTATCAAAACAAACCAGATTGTGGCCTTACCTTTCAAACTGAGGGCTACATTGAAGTAGATACCACACCTTTAGATGCTGGGAAGTGTTACGTATTCGAACAGACAATAAGCAAGGGCTCTCGAAATGCCAGCTCTATACAAGTGGTCAATGTGACGGCGATGGCACCCTGTAAACTTGCTATGATGTGAGTATACCACATAGTTTTGATTTGCAGTAAATTGTTTTCACTAAATAATCCAAGTTATGGAAAGGGCTTTGTGTCTAATAGTTAGTTTTCAATATAAAACTGAAATCACTTCATTACAGGAACTGATGTTCTTCTTATTTAAAAACATAAAAAGAAACATCATCATCACCATCATCATCATCATCATCACACACACACCATAGCCGTAGATTATGAACGGTCCCTTATATATCGAATATGTATACAAGAGTGTGTAAATGGCAACAGAAGTGGATGTAAAGATTTACCTTCATTCCTAATGTATATAAATATTATTGCTGAAAGTTGAAGTGCAGTATATCCTATCTTACCTATCTGGACTGTAAATATGTGATAAAAGGATTATTCCTTCTGAAGCCAGGTTATATCTTCTGATTACCGAATATTGGGAACTACTATAACAGAACATGATATTTGTCATACATTTTAGGTAATGGAACGTATCTTTCCAGGTGTTTGAAAAACTGCATGGGGAAGGTTACACCCGAGGAGCCAACAGCGTTCGAAGTGAATATAATATGTGACGGTGCCACTAAGGAGCAAATAGATGCTGCAGTATATAGATGGACTCTGTCGCAGTTTGACTTTTCTACTAATCAGTACAATGACATTACCTGGGACAGTAACTTCCTACGGCGTAAGTGGTATTTTAATGATCGGTATGTTATGAGTTACACACGTTATCGTTATGGTGTACATACCGGGGCGACGTTCCAGGAAGCGCTGGGACGATGTAGCTCCCATACTCTAACACAATATATCGTAGATCCTATACACTAACACGATATATCGTAGCTCCCCTACCCTAACACGATATATCGTAGCTCCCATACCCTTACACGATATATCGTAGATCCCATACTCTAACACGATATATCGTAGCTCTTATACACTAACACGATATATCGTAGCTCCTATACACTAACACGATATATCGTAGCTCCCATACCCTAACACGATATATCGTAGATCCTATACTCTAACACGATATATCGTAGCTCATATACACTAACACGATATATCGTAGCTCCTATACACTAACACGATATATCGTAGCTCTAATACCCTGAGACGATATATCGTAGCTCCCATACTCTAACATGATATATCGTAGCTCCGATACACTAACACGATATATCGTAGATCCTATACCCTAACACGATATATCGTAGATCCTATACACTAACACGATATATCGTAGCTCCTATACACTGAGACGATATATCGTAGCTCCCATACTCTAACACGATATATCGTAGATCCTATACACTAACACGATATATCGTAGCTCCTATACAATGAGACGATATATAGTAGCTCCCATACACTAACACCATATATCGTAGCTCGCATACTCTAACACGATATATCGTAGCTCGCATACTCTAACACGATATATCGTAGCTCGCATACTCTAACACGATATATCGTAGATCCTATACTCTAACACCATATATCGTAGCTCGCATACTCTAACACGATATATCGTAGCTCCCATACCCTAACACGATATATCGTAGATCCTATACTCTAACACGATATATCGTAGCTTCTATACACTAACACGATATATCGTAGATCCTATACACTAACACGATATATCGTAGCTCCTATACACTGAGACGACATATCGTAGCTCCCATACTCTAACGCGATATATCGTAGCTCCTATACACTAACACGATATATCGTAGCTCGCATACTCTAACACGATATATCGTAGCTCGCATACTCTAACACCATATATCGTAGCTCGCATACTCTAACACGATATATCGTAGCTCCCATACCCTAACACGATATATCGTAGATCCTATACTCTAACACGATATATCGTAGCTCCTATACACTAACACGATATATCGTAGATCCTAAACACTAACACGATATATCGTAGCTCCTATACACTAACACGATATATCGTAGCTCCCATACTCTAACATGATATATCGTAGCTCCTATACACTGAGACGATATATCGTAGATCCTATACACTAACACGATATATCGTAGCTCCTATACACTAACACGATATATCGTAGCTCCTATACACTGAGACGATATATCGTAGCTCCCATACTCTAACACGATATATCGTAGATCCTATACACTAACACGATATATCGTAGCTCCCATACTGTAACACGATATATCGTAGATCCTATACACTAACACGAGATATCGTAGCTCCTATACACTAACACGATATATCGTAGCTCCTATACACTGAGACGATATATCGTAGCTCCCATACACTAACACCATATATCGTAGCTCGCATACTCTAACACGATATATCGTAGCTCGCATACTCTAACACGATATATCGTAGCTCGCATACTCTAACACGATATATCGAAGCCCCCTATCCACATTTCAAACCACTGCTGTTGACATTTGTAGGCATTTTGTCATTATGGTTGACATATTTTACTCTTGTTGTAAGGTAATCTGTCTTGCAACCGTCTGTAGGTCATCAGAAGGGCAACATGGGTGAGAATAGCACGTGGCATATGACGTCACTTCCTCCATTTGTAAATCCTGATATCTGTACTGACAAGTCAGTGTGGACAGCCAGTCACATGCATTTGCAGCCCAATATGAGTACCAAAGCAAATACGTGTATACACATACATCCTGCTAGTTACCAATCCGAATGTCTTAAACCACTGCATCGACGGATTCCAACATCCTGTATTTGCAAGCAGGGAATGTGGACAAAGCTCATATATAACCCACAATATCAACTTTACTCGTTTAAACTGCCAGGCAACTTATTATGACAAAAATTATAAATGAAAGGAGGCTTAGAACGTCTTCCGATTGTTCCTATCAGCATGATAATAGTAAATCATTACACGCCATCACACGTCATGACACATCATTGTATGTTATATTTCAGTACCTACCGATTCGGTGTTTGAGTTGAAGCATAACTATTTCACGGCCGGGGCGAGCTACAGGCTACAGATTACAGCGGAGGCAGCAGGGCGTCCCCAAAACAGGGCATACAAGACATTAGTGACTAATGAAGAACCCAGAGGCGGGACCTGTTCCATCTCACCACTACAAGGTAAGCCTTCAGTCTTCGGAATCAGAACTGCAAAGAACACTTACCTTTGAAAGTACTTTCCAGATAACGACGACCATTTTCCGTTGAACTCAACACAACCACGTGGTCTATCACATATTTAACTCATCACAACCACGTGGTCTATCACATATTTAACTCATCACAACCACGTGGTCTATCACATATTTAACTCATCACAACCACGTGGTCTATCACATATTTAACTCATCACAACCACGTGGTCTATCACATATTTAACTCATCACAACCACTTTGTGATCTGTCGCTCTAACAACCCCATCCCCTACCCCACACCCCACCCACCCCACCCCACCCCCACCACCCGACAGTCTGCTTTTCAGCTGCTATATTGCTGACCTGCCTTGTGTCTATGTAGGTGTGTTCCTCAACACTACATTCTCGGTCATTTGTGACGGCTGGATGGATGAAGGTATCCGAAATGAAAAGGATGATGCAATTGACATTCAGGAACCACTCAAGTTGAAGCTGATGCAAGATGGCAACCTTCTAAGCACAACAGGTTTGTGTCTACTCTCATACAACGAATGCTAATATGTCAGTCAGTATTTAGTATTCTTGATAATATGAGTGTCGTTTTCAAATGGACCAGGAAAAGTCACCTCGTTGACCGTAGGACACTCGCATCTGCTTGTCTCGGGTTTGATCTTCATATTTGCTCAGATTATAATACTTTGGTCAGTTTGAAACATACCTAAGCTCTGTGAAGTTCTGGGAGTGAGTGAGTGAGTATGGTTTTACGCCGCTTTTAGCAATATTCCAGCAATATCACGGCGGCGGACACCAGAAATGGGCTTAACACATTGTGCCCATGTGGGGAATCGAACCCGGGTCTTCGGCGTGACGAGCCAACGCTTTAACCACTAAGCTACCCCACCGCCCCCGAAGTTCTGGGAGTCTTTGGCAATGACGTCATCATATACAGTATGGAGCAGGGGCACTGTACTGCTGTACCAAGGGTTGTAGCGGGTAGGTTCCAACCTGTGTCACCAAATCCTGACACACAAGAAGCCTTGTTAACCTTACCATTATTTCCTGCTCAATTTCCACTGCAGACTTCACACGCAAAGTGTCACATGCGGCCGTGGACTTGAAGGTCGGAACCGAGGCAAACAATTTCGACACTGTTGTTAAAATGATCGTCTTTGACTTATTTGGCGGCGAGGCTGTGTTTACTGAGACAGTCAAGGTAGAGCATAAACAGTTTCCGTTTCCTTTCACAGTTTATCTTAAGAATTGAATCATATTTTTCAACGACACCTCCGTTTCCCCTGACTTGTTAAGATGTAATATGTAGGTTGCATGATTCGTCTTTTGCTTAATACGTAGCTCCACGCAACTTGGCTCCTAACGTACAGTTTTCCACCAAGTCGACAAAGCTCACAATATCTATGAGGAAATGGTTGTCTAGAGTTACGCAAGTCAGGCCAATTGTCTGTAACTATATATATAATACCATGTGAATATTAATAGTTACTCACATGTCTGTTTCCTTCATCCTTTGTGAACACAGGTCGAGAACAGCATGCCCACGGTCCCCTCCTTCGGGACAGCGGCAGCAAACTCTAACCTAAGCCCTGAGGAACAAGAACAGCAACAAGCCGAATTCACTAACTACCTGACGGACGCTCAAGATATTGTCAGTATGTCAGAGGGCAACGGTGCACCTCTTGACACAGCGGTCATTATATCATCATACGCACAGGCAATAAACTCCGTTGTAAGTATATCATTCATGTTTAGGACATATATCTAATCTAAATCAATGTGACATAACGGGAAGAGGTCCACGGTGTTTATGCAAAGGTTTCTTATGATTAAGGCAATACGGAGGCTGGTGCCAGTAAGGATGGACAGGCTTTGCCTTATCGCGAACAATTTGTCATGACACATGATTTTCTTTGGTCCATTCCTGTGTTTTTCACAGCAATTTTGTCCTTTACACCAAATGGAATCTGTTTATGAGAACAGCCATGGCGTTTTTCTGATTTGGGGAAGCTTTCTATTGCTTTTAGTCAATAGAAAGTGACCGGCATTCTGGTACATGTAGTTCCATTCATTTTTTACAACGTAGAGCTGGAGGAAGAAACTGTATAAATAGACTATTTCTTAATTTACCGTGTTAACGTTTAACTCATTACCACCCAATCTTGTTCCTAGACGTTTCCGACAGTTAATTCTGATGACGTGACCCAAGTCACCAATGAAAACGCTGACGCTGAGCTGTCCCGAACACTTGAAGCAGGAACACAGGTCAACCCCATGTTAGAAAAGATTCAAGGAGTGAGTAGAAAGAGTCTCCAGGCAGTCTCCAATGTTGGCCTGTGAGGCAATCTAGCGTAAAATGCATTGTGCCATTGATCTTGGTTCGATTCACTTTGTACATTTGTGAAGGCATTGCTTCTAAGGGCTGAAATATCACTGAAACTGTCGTAAAAATAAATTGAAAATCGTTATGGCTTGATTGAAATAGGTTAATAACATATGCACTGAAACATAAGAATCAAGTTACTTAAACATTCCCTTTATTTCGCATAACAATTTTCGAGCAAAAGCCTCTATCAGCTCCCTTTTACCTTGTGATGTTGGGACGCGACGGGATGTCGTTGTCTTTTAGTCAGTACGCAGTTACGTCTCAAGGACCTACCTACTTCTTCAGCCCTCATAGTATTCCATTTCTGTTTAGACTAACGGCAACACCGGTTCACTAATTAAATACTATCCTCTTTAAAACAGGTCAATGAGGCATTCGTTACTTCACTCAAGGCAGGAATTGAGAACGAACTACAGCTGTTGGAAAATTCAAGCAAGACGCCAAGTGCCGACACTGTTATTACATTTGCATCCAGCCTGGCCACAGTTGTCGCTAACCCAGCGCTCCTCAGTGATGACGCTGTCGTACGTACTGAAAGGGTGTTTGTCTCGTTGGGGTTCACAAATGCACTCGTACCACTAGACGGCGGTGCTATTCAAATTTGCAATTCCTCTAGAGATTTCCGATATGAGAAACAACCGTAAATTCAAATGTTCTATTGAATCAATTTTTACCGACATCATAGTGGTTATTTTCCCGTACTATTGGACTCGTTTAGTTGCTTTAGCAGATACCTATCTGTAGGACTATTTCGGCATTTCTGTGTGAAGGATATATAGGGTAGTTTGGTCTGTTTTAAATGAGATTCAAGTATCTAAAACGCAACTGCACGAGTATTGTCAGAATAAACATTCAGCATAAAGCAATCTAGCAAGAGGATTTTATCACACATAAATAACTCTTTTCAGCTTTGCATTTTATTTGCTGGGATGTTTCATAAATAATATATATTTTATGAATTCTCATTATAACCAGTCAGACTTTGATTGATTTACGGTACATTCTACCATGACTTCAGTAAGCACTGGATTGTGATTGGTTAATTAAAGTCATTCAGAGGTATATAATCACGTTATACAGGTCTCTGTTTTCCGTGCGCAATCATACATGGTTTTCGGTAATGCACTATTTTTGTCTGCCCACTAACATGGCGGACACCAAACAACCTACCGATGCATCGATAAATTACGGCGATTTTACTGTCGGAAATTACACATTTGTCTTTAAAGATGGATTTAGCGATGACGGGCTCGACTCACTACTTGCGTAAATCCCAGCTACGCGTTCGGTTTTAAATGAAATTTAGAGCTATTATAATTTCGTTATATACCTCTGATTTTCCCACACAGTAGGTTTATCTCCTAATTATTTACGGGAATTAATATTAGAGGCGACAAACCCTTTCCACATCCATGACAAATCTCTGTTATAAGCATGTGTATGTTTCTTTGTTTGGTTAACGACACACTCACAGTTCCACAGCTGTCTGGGGCCGGACTGTAATTAATCGAGTCTGGACCAGACATTCCAGTGATTGCCGTATGAGATGTGATGACACAGCATGTGATTATGAATCACTACCACATAGTGATGACTCGAGATGTTCGCGAAAGGTTATCTCCATAACTATGTGTTTCAGGGGGGTGCTGGGGAAGCTCTGCAAATGCTTTCAGCAGTAATGGCATCTGTTGCGAATTCAACCCTCAGTACAGTGGCCGTGGAGAAAATGCAGAAAGGTCAGTTTCTCTGTTTACCTTTTAAACAAGGCCCACCATGATAGCCAAACACTGTATCAGGATATGTAATTATTTACGATGTAGTCACACAACCACACAACTGTCAGATAGTTATGAAGGAATATCTTAAATATATATAATTAAATATAATAAATAAAATCACTCTCGATTATCTCATGAAACTGATTCCCCGAGGTATCTGATTAGATGAAAGGATTACTGATAATGAGTGACGACACCAGGTGTTCAAGACAAGTGTTTACTAATGATGCCCAACACTATCAGTTTCACCCACCGTTTTCACAATTTGCAAAGTATGTGTTTGTTCTTGCGTTCCCTGCAGCAGTCCTGCACTGTATATTGTAAATAATCGAGACCGGTTTTAACTGTATGATGTAAATGTGAAACCATTGCAAGCCGTGAGTCTGCCCTATGCAGCTGTTGGTGAATACTGTTCAGACAATACCAATATCGCAATGACGTACGATAGGCCACAGTAAACACTTCTTTATCGTGCCCTAAATGTAAATCTAAACTCTTTAAAAAGAAACGCACAGGCCAAAATATGAGGCTGAAAATGCCTGTGTGTTTTTTTTTGGTAGAGTGGAGATCCCTTCCATATTCACAAGAAACCGTTTTTGCCATCCCGTCTATATGAATAGCGTGGCTGTACAAATGTCTGTCTTATGGTAGTGGTACAAGGTGATGGCCACTAGATAACCACACTGATGAAGCCCGTCACATGCACACGCAGAGGCACCTAACATAACATTGGGACATGTGGTACAAGCAGAAATAGGCAAATGTATTGAACATCACGTTTGTGACCTACGGAATTTGGAAATGTCCTCCATGCATCTAAAATAATATGTTTTAAAGCTTGTCTGAGGCCTCAAGACATTCATTCAGTGAACATCCAAAACGGCCGACATGAATGCGAAAGTATGTGTGTTTTGTGACATTCGTTTCAGCCGTTGGGTCCCTGCTCAGCAACGTCATCCACTGCAACAACTACTTTGCTGTAACGGGTGTCGAAGTGGAGGGAATAGACCGGTTTGATAACACCACGAAAACAGATGAAGGATTCAATGATCTGGAGGCGGACTACCTAAAGAAACTCCTCAAGAGCAAGAGGGAAATCCAATTAAAACAGGCCACCGATCAGGTAAACACGTTGATTTACCACTACCTACAACATCTGTTGCTGCTTCAGGAAGTAGTCTTCTTTCATTAAATACAAATTCTTTGCTTTTGGATCGTAATGCTTTTGATGTCAGTTAACTTACATTGTTGACTTACGTATATGCTATGTTTCCTTGTAGATAAACTCGAACATTAAGAGCATTTTGAAAGCTGCAGACAACATGTACAAACTGTCCAGCGGGCTGACAACTACGCATTCCTCGAGTTCTGTGGAAGAGAAAACGTTCATCCAATCTGTTGAAAAAGATAAGGCTGATGCCTTTAAAAATGGCAGCAAGGGCGTCAACGGGTCTGCCTTGGCAGTTGACAGCGTGGACGGAGTGGAACCAGACGATGTCATAGAGAGCAATGTATGTTGTATCCCTGTCATTTCCAACTGATTAATACCTACTAGTATCTTCCATCACATATCTGTATGCCACGAAACAGTCAAGGCTTATTGTGCGTGGAGAGTTTCACGCCTGTAAGAACTGCTTTTTAAATTTATAAATATATGTCAGATATGCAAACATGAATTTCGGCAATAACGGTTCATATTTGGCAGAGTTTGGCATTGGTTGATAGCAAGAGTATGTATCTTTGCTATTTTTAGTGTTTGCTTCTATCGTTCCTGCCATCACGTTTTCCATTCATTTGCAGATGATAGTTCTCAGCGAGAATCCTTTCACCACAGGACCAAATGCAAAGATGGCTGAATATCCAGTCACAATGGCAAGTATGACAAAGAATGGAAAGAAGTTACAGCTGAAAGGAGCTGTAATCTCACAGACGGACCCAGTAGAAGCTCCCTATAAGTTCTACAGCAATCCAGAGTTTACACCCGGAGATCCAGGATATATGTTGTATCACCCCTTTCCCTATAGGGCGTCAACTGAACAAATCTGTATTGTATCCAAGCCAGTAAACGTGTCTGTCTGTTATGACGTGTATCTCAGAGCCCTCATACCTCCAACGGAATTCGAGTATGACCACCGTGATAGGAACGTCACTGGCAACGTTGGTTTAGAGTACTGTGCTGAGCCCGGGGCTTGCAAGAGAACTGGGACATGTTGGCTGGGGATTGTTCCCTTTCCGTGTGAAGGTATGTGCGATTTGTTCTCAAACATACAACTATAACACCCATAATTGCATGGCATCTTAGGCAAGTTGAATACATGTTTATCATTTGATCGGGATAATTGGCTGTAAGCATATGCCTTGTTGTAAAGAATTTTGTACTTTACAAGTGGATTATGATCAAGAAGTGCGATGTGTGTCCAGTCTTTGTCATTGCTAAGTAAGAATGCTCCTTCCATTCACTGTAGGGGATGAGGATGCACAGGCACATCATCGAGCGCGGCGGGCAGCAAGTGCTAACAACACAGGTGCCCCTGGAACCTCCAGCATCTCTGATCAAGGAGGCGATGCTAACAGCTCTGACCCTCTGCTGACTCCCTACAACCTAAGAATCGTAACACTCTCCTGTCTTAGCTGGGATGGAGGGGAACAAGACTGGGATGCGTCTGTGTGTAAAGTAAGTGTTTCGTGTAATTATATTAGTGATATATTAATTCGGAACTCTAACTAAATGTTGCATATGTGCATAAAGAGCACGTAAACTCTTTAATGTATTCATCTAGGGCATATTTTGAGTAACAGTACAACCAGAAATTATTGAGAATTTAAAGATTGTAAGTTTTTAACTTTTTTCACTCATTACTCACGTATTAAAGGTGAATATTAGCAGAACATAACTCCAGATTCAAAGACAGGTGAACAGTTAGTATGTTGTCAAGTCACCATGGGCAGCAATGCAGGCTTCAATGCGGCGGGGCATACTACTGATCAAAGAAGTTAGAAAGTCGTGGTCCATGCTGTCCCAATATCGGACCACCTCTTCTTTCATTCCAGTAATATTTGTCAGATGTTTCTTATTGACACTTTCCTTCACAAGTTCCCAAACATTTTCTATTGGATTTAGGTCAGGGCTATAGCTTCGCCAATCTAAAAATGACATATTTTGGGTCCGAAATCAGGCCTGTGAATGCTTTGAACGATGTTTTGGATCGTTGTCCTGCTGGAAAATCCAAACATTTGCTCCTAACACAGATATGCCACCCACACGTTAAATTTCGGACTGTACTTTGGGCGCTGATACAAAGGTTTTTCAGTTTGTTTTGTCCAGAATTTCAGTGTATTAGGAAACAGCCACACAGAACTTTCATCTGAGAAAATCACATTGTCCCAGTTCAAATTTCTATGCTGTAAGCACCAGTTCAACCTTCGCTCCTTTTGTTCAGGTTTCATGATCGGTGATGGAATTTCTCGACTTTTCTGCCAACACATTGCATGCAGCTCAGTTCTAATTGTCTCCTTACAGACAGACACAGTTCCTCTATCAATCATATCCAGCCTTAAGTTTTCTAAACTCCTTCGTTTGTTTTTAGAAACAAGAATACCAAGCCGCCTCCTGTCACCGACAGTCAATTTTCTGGGCCCACTGCGCCTCGCTCAATGCCATATCCATTTGCAATATTTTTCAAAACACGATAAACAGTGGACAAAGAGATGCCTGTTCTACTTGAAATCACTTTAGCTGATCTGATGTTCTTGTTATAATACTCTAAAATCAACTTCCTCTTCTCTAAATCTTCCATACTGAGGATCACTGAAAATGTTGTCTGCTAGCAAGTAAACAAAGGGGGATAACTCTTCATAACTAATGAAAAAGGATTAACGGAGTTGACTCTCTTGAATGAATCCAAGCACTTGATAGCTGGTCAAGGTTGTTTATACTAGAAATCCAATTAAACATATCCTAAAATTCTCAATAATTTCTGGTCATACTATATAATGCATTTCTACATTGTGAATTTCATGATCCAGGAACAAACTATTTTTTTGTTTTATTTACAGGTTACACGAGACCCTGTTAACAACAAGACCAAGTGCAAGTGCGGAGACAGAGATGACGTCATCACCACTGTCTCCTTCTTTGTCGCCCCCAACACCATCGACTTCTCAACGGTGTTCAGCAAGTTCGACATTGCTGGTCAAGGCGCCGTTCTCGGGACAATACTCGTGTGCTTCGTGCTGTTTGTGATCTTCCTGTTCTGGGGACGATACATGGATGGGCAGGATGTCCTACAGGTAACACGTGTACCGTAATGTACCTATACAGGATGTCCTACAGGTAACACGTGTACCGTAATGTACCTATACAGGATGTCCTACAGGTAACACGTGTACCGTAATGTACCTATACAGAATGTTCTACAGGTAACACATGTACCGTAATGTACCTATACAGGATGTTCTACAAGTTACACTTGTACCGTAATGTACCTATTGTACTGTAGTCTATACAGCTCTATACAGGATGTTCTACAGGTAACACGTGTACCGTAATGTACCTATACAGGATATTCTACAGGTAACACGTGTACCGTAATGTACCTATACAGGATGTTCTACAGGCAACACGTGTACCGTAATGTACCTATACAGGATGTTCTACAGGTAACACATGTACCGTAATGTACCTATTGTACTGTAGTCTATACAGCTCTATACAGAATGTTCTACAGGCAACACGTGTACCGTAATGTACCTATACAGGATGTTCTACAGGTACCACATGTACCGTAATGTACCTATTGTACTGTAGTCTATACAGCTCTATACAGGATGTTCTACAGGCAACACGTGTACCGTAATGTACCTATACAGAATGTTCTACAGGTAACACATGTACCGTAATGTACCTATACAGGATGTTCTACAAGTTACACTTGTACCGTAATGTACCTATTGTACTGTAGTCTATACAGCTCTATACAGGATGTTCTACAGGTAACACGTGTACCGTAATGTACCTATACAGGATATTCTACAGGTAACACGTGTACCGTAATGTACCTATACAGGATGTTCTACAGGCAACACGTGTACCGTAATGTACCTATACAGGATGTTCTACAGGTAACACATGTACCGTAATGTACCTATACAGGATGTTCTTCAGGTAACACATGTACCGTAATGTACCTATTGTACTGTAGTCTATACAGCTCTATACAGGATGTTTTACAGGTAACACATGTACCGTAATGTACCTATACAGGATGTTCTACAGGTAACACATGTACCGTAATGTACCTATTGTACTGTAGTCTGTACAGCTCTATACAGGATGTTCTACAGGTAACACATGTACCGTAATGTACCTATTGTACTGTAGTCTATACAGCTCTATACAGGATGTTCTTCAGGTAACACATGTACCGTAATGTACCTATACAGAATGTTCTACAGGTAACACATGTACCGTAATGTACCTATACAGGATGTTCTACAGGTAACACGTGTACCGTAATGTACCTATTGTACTGTAGTCTACACAGCTCTATACAGGATGTTCTTCAGGTAACACGTGTACCGTAATGTACCTATTGTACCGTGGTCTGTACAGCTCTATACAGGATGTTCTTCAGGTAACACATGTACCATAACTTACCTATTGTACTGTAGTCTACACAGCTTATTTCTATCAGTGCAGTGTCGTGAACAGCGATGATCACATGTACATGCACTTACTTGTTACACGCAGCCATTGTATGATGTGTTATATTCATGAACGTGTTGCACATGTGGTTAATGGGTACCTGAGTAACAATCCCAAGACTGTAGGAAATAAACGAAAGCTAAATTCCTGGAACAGACGAAATGAACACTAAACATGTATGCTTACTTATGCTTACTTACATTTCAGTGGGGCGTGACCCTCCTGGCTGACAACTACAAGGGCGATAGCTACTACTACCTCGTCACCATCCACACAGGGATGGTGAGACACGGTGGCACACGGTCTAAAATAGGGTTCTGTATTGCTGGTGAGGATGAAGACACTGGTGTAAGGATGCTATCTGACGGTGTCAGAGAGGTGGGCTTCATCACTTTCAACATATCATATTCAAAAGGGAATTTCATTTAAACATTTGTTTTCACACCCATTGTGACTAGTCAAATGAGGGCCTTTAATTTAATGACTGTTATGACTTCGTAGGGATGTGTTGAAGAAAATAGCGGTGATGTGGCTTGTATGTTGCTAAAGATGGTGTAAAAGGCTACTATTGATTATCGACGCTAATTATTGATCAACCGAATACTGGTTAAGCATAAAGTAGAATAGAATACTTAGTGTATCTGCAAGTAAAAATCTCTAGAATTTATAGTGTTTTGTTGACTATTTAAAATACAAATAATTTTGAAAACAATAATTTGGATTGTAGGTACGAGTAGTGCTTTACAACAGATGACAATGAACTTTGATTTTATCAGGAAATGAAAGCGGGCAGCACCATGCATTTCCTCATGGCCGTCCCCGAGTGCCTTGGAACCTTGCAGTGCTTCAGGGTGTGGCATGACAACTCGGGCAAAGGAGACTCCGCTTCCTGGTATCTCAACAGAGTTGAGGTCACAGATCTTCAGTCAGCCGATAAGTAAGCATACTAATTTTCACAAGGGTAGACAAAAAATCCCCCCGGGGAGATCCTCGGAATTTATCTTCAACAACCCATCCCACAGCTACAATACTGTTGACTGCAACCTTAACAGCAAATTACTAGAAGGCATCAAGATGGCTTAAAAGTCGTTTCGAACTATTGACTTAACAGGTGACAAGGGTGCATGTCATTTTGTGACTACTGATACATTGGAAATATGCATACACCTCTTACACTTTCAGGTATGACTTCCTCTGCTACCAATGGATGTCCCTGGAAGAAGGAACGCTAGACAAGGCTCTGGCACTGTCCTCTACTGAGAACATGAAGAATTTCAAGACCATGTTCTTCGAGCACGCACGTCACCATCTGACTGATGACCATCTGTGGGTGTCCGTTCTCCTGCGACCCGTCAAGAGTCATTTCAGTCGTGTCCAGAGAGTCGGATGCTGCTACACCCTGCTTATGCTGGCTATGATAGCAAATGCCATGTTCTTTCAAAGCAAGGATAATAAGGATAGGAAGCAGTCATCCGATTTTTCAATTGGTCCTATCAGTTTCAGCCTGAGTCAGATATACATTTCATTCATTTCCACCATCCTCACTACCATCCCAGTGTTCTTCATCATGCTTCTGTTTAGAAAGTCAAAACTAAGCGAAAAGGCTACAAAGGATGGAACCCGAATGTGGATGCCCTACTGTTTCCGGAAGTTCAAGTTCTACAAGCAATCCAAGGCCATCGAAAAGATCATGGTCATTAGGGACATCGTTGATGATCAAGATGGTGTCCTGCCTCACTTTTGCGTGTACATCTCTTGGGTATTTGCCTTCATCTGTGTCTTCTTGTCCGCGTTCTTCATCATGTTGTACAGTATGGAGTGGGGCAAGGACATCTCGGAAGAATGGCTGGTGACCTTCATCTTGTCTTTCTTCGAATCGCTCATCATTATGGACCCCGTAAAGGTAAATAGTGCGACCGGTAGCAACCTGTTTTTGTTTACTATGCAAGTGTATACAACAACACAATTTTATTCCATCGGTTCATTGCAGGTTGATTTGTTTGTAGCTTTTTTGCAATATTATAATAGAAATGTCAGATTGAACGGTGTAGTAAACTGAGCAGAATCTAGTAACACTGTCCTCATTGTATATATAGTAACATACTATTTTAGGTTCTTCAAGGGGGTGATAGAGGGCTGTTATATGAATGATATTCCGGTTCACACTATGATACCTTCCCTTATCAAAGGCTGAATATTCGGAATCAGTTCAATCATAAATATACTTGAAATGAATATTGTTCATTGACATATTCCACAGTATTCGTAAGGTCATCATTCCATCTGTCTACAGGTGCTCGTGTTGGCGATTCTGTTTGCCATATTGCTGAAGACCCTCAAGGCAAGCAAACCATCTCACTTCGACCTCGACCACATTGGCAGGATGAACAGAGAGAATGGTCAGCACGGAGAAGGTACAGTATACCTTTCATGTATATTTTTCTTTTAATATCAAAATGTTAAATTTGTTCATGTATAAAATTTACTTTTGACTCATTACCGAACACAGTGCATTTTCATATCATAAGCTACTAACAGCATAATAAATATAGCATTCCATGTGTGTGTTTTTATTGATAAAGTATTTGTACTAGCCTCAGTCGATGAACACTCGTCTCCCGTCTCATGTCAGTCAGGTTTTATAGACAGTTATCTTACCTCGCCAATCAATGTACCCCGCTTACAAGCGGGTAACATTTTCTATGTAACCCGCTTGAAATGCCGAACTGTGGGGATTCGTTTGGTACTTCCTGATAGTAGTGTTTGGACTGTTGCCTAACTCCGGTACTCATTATTATAATCCTATACCTGTGCTTCAAACACTTAAAAATTAACATTGAGGTGTTCGGTAAGATAAACACCTTGTTCACTGGTCCCTCGGGGCCCATGGGTTGATGTACTCTCTATGTTTGTTTATATTCCCCTCGCCATTCGGGCTTAGGGAACATAAAAACACATAGAGGGTACATCAAACCCATGCCCCCCTCGTGACCAGCGAACAACGTATAATTTGTTACGCCGTGTAGTGCAAGGTCACTGACCTATGGACACGTACACATATAAGATGCGGTAGTTGATTGACGTGTATGGATAGCATTACGAATTAAGTGTCCTGCCTGGAGGTGTGTGTATTAGAGGGGATACATGGTAAGTTTTCTGAATGCATTAAACAGACAAAGGAGATATAATCTGGGTGCACTGTGGACATATATTTAAACAATTGGTGTCCAAACATGCAGGTGATTCTAGTACGAAAGTATGAGTCATTGTTACAAGCCTTTGCGTTACATAGGTCGGGCTCGACTGGACTACCGCAGTCCATTCTCAGAAGAGGAACTTCAACGAGCGAAAATACAATGTCGACGCCGGAACACGATGAGGAAGGCGATTCAGGAACTGCTCGCCAATAGTTTCTTCTTGTGGCTTCTCGCCAGCATCAGCTACAGCAACAGAGACCCCCACGGGTTCCTCCTGCATCAGAACATCAAGAACACCTTCATGGAACCATTCAAACCAGCTGTGACATTAAAACATGTACGTTGAGTGTCAAAGACAATCTCAGTTAATCTAATGGTGCCACAGAAGGCTCACTGTGGGGAGAACATGTTAGTGAGTGAGTGAGTTTAATTTTACGCGGCACTCAGCAATATTCCAGCTATATGGCGGCGGTATGTAAAATATCGAGTCTGGACCAGACAATCCACTGATCAACAGCATGAGCATCGATCTACACAATGTTCATGCGATGACATGTGTCAACCAAGTCAGCGAGCCTGACCACCCGGTCCCGTTAGTCGCCTCTTACGACAAGCATGGGTTACTGAAGATCAATTCTAACCCGGACCTTCACGGGTCGGAGAACATATTAACTCCACCAGTGTTCGTCGGTGACAGTTTAGTGTTGAAATCCTTGGGATTCAAAGCTTAGGACTCCTGCACCATTGTTTGTAATATGGGCAGGGAGTAACTTCTAGAACTCGGATAGGTGGACTCCAATGTTGAGCTAGCTGTATCGAAGAGAACGATCATACGTTTGAGAACAAATAATATAAAGTAAACACTACTATATAGCTCTGTGAGCACTAATGATATGATCCTAATTTTCTTATGGGTACTCTGCAAATTACTGAATTTACAATAGTGAATCAGGTAGTATACGTTTAGTGACGTTCTCTTGCCAATACGTTTCTTATCTTGGTGCTAATACAGGTGAACACATCAGCACACTACTTCCAATGGCTCAATGAAACAGTCATCCCCAACCTGTTCCCTGTGACCAACTTCAATGGATCCCGCCTCACACCAAACACGAGATTAAGGATCAGTGATCTTAGCAACTACCGTGTGGGAGCACCTCGGCTCCGCCAAGTGAGACAAGCAGAAAGTAAGTGAACGTAAGGAACACGATCAGGTAAATAGTGTGACTGGAACATATTCAAAGCATCGCACATAAAAGCAGTGTGCGAAATAGCCACTGGCCCGCTAGCACGTGGCTACTAAACTCCAGTCGGGCCAGTTAATCTCCACAGTCACTGGCCGGACTGGCTAGTGAATTTGAGCATAAACAAAATAGTTCAGACATGTGTTTTCTTATTTGTTTTTTTAATGGTATTTTACCTTTTTGTAATGTTTTGCTTAGTTTCTACATTCAAATTTCGGACTGGTGAATTATTTTGTGGGTCAGTAACTTTCAAGCATAGCTTAACCAAAATGTGATTCATCAAGATATGATTTTCTATTGTAATATAGTAATATATTTGAATACGTTAGTACAAAGAATACTCAGTCTCAGGGGCGGATACGGCTTTTAGAGAAAAAAAAAGGGGGAGTTGCACACTCCTGAGAAGGGGGGTGCACACTTCAATTTCACCTGTTTTCATGAGAGTTTCAATGGTCATTCAATGTGTGTGTGTGTGTGTGTGTGTGTGTGTGTGTGTGTGTGTGTGTGTGCACCCGTTCTAATGTAATTATGTAATTAACACTAAAAAGTTTAGAGTAGCACTCGCATCAGTTACGTATTGAAAGTGGAACATATTATAATTTGGATATAAACGATAGATTAAGTTTACAGTGAAGGTTATATTGAGGATGAATACCATTTTCTCCTCGTCTGTTCCCAATTCAAACAGCTTGAACCATTTACCTAAAACCTATGTATCAATCCAAGTAAAGCTAAATTCATACTTCTTATATCAACTTCAGATTGTTAACTTATTAATAATTTAGCAACTTTATTTATCATGCAATAGATCTAAGATGTTAAAATTATCAATCTATACTGTACACACTATGTTTTGCCATGTACAATGTAACTTATGTAGTTATGGCCCAATAGCCTACACTTCTGTAATAAAGAATTGAATGGCAATTGAATAATGTCATTGGATAGCGGTATGTAAACAAAGCAGTCAATCGAGTGATCAATAAGGCGGCCATTTAAGCTGGTAACTTTGTATTATCAGTACCGCATAGAAGTTCACATACTCTGAGTAAAGAAGAATGTTTGAGAAAGAGATTGTTTCACAAAACAGTACCACTTTACCTAACATAACGTTTATACTTCATTTCAGAATCCTGTACAATACCATTTGTCGGAAAGACAAAGTGCTACCCCCAATACGATCTCGCAACGGAAGAAAACAGGGACTGGTGTAGCCATTGGCAGTACCAAGCTAAATGCCCCGACAAAGAGGCCCTAGCCGTCACCAATGCTGCCTGGACGTTTGTATCAGCTCTAGACATCTGGGGGCTTCCCATCACGGGCGAGAGGGGGGTCTACGGTGGAGGGGGCTACATAGCTGAACTGGACATAAATCGACAGGTTGCTGAAATGGCTTTTAACGAACTCTATGAAGCTCGATGGGTTGATAGAAACACGCGCGGTGTATTCCTGGAATTCACGCTGTACAATGCAAACAAGAACATGTTCTGCTATGTGAGCATCCTGGTCGAGTTCCCTGAGAGTGGCGGTGTCATTGAATTTACAAATGTATTTCCGTTCAGAAGCTTCAACCATATTGGAACAGTTGGAAAGTACATTCTCTTCTGCGAAATTGTCTTCTTCATCTTCACGATCCTCTGGCTGGGATACATCTCCTTCAAACTGATGAAAGAACGATGGTGCTTCTTCAAGAGCTTTTGGAACGTCGTGGAGCTGACGAGTGTTGTCATTTCCTTCATTGCTGTTATCCTGTACTTTATCCGTCTCACTTACACCAATGAAGCCATGGCCTTGTTCAAAGAAAACGACCGAGTCTTCATCAACTTCTACCACATCGCAGTATGGGACAACCTCTTTGTCTACGCTCTTGCTTTCCTGCTCGGGATAGCAACATTACGGCTGCTGAGAGTCATGGGTTATTCTAGAGTCACTCAGATTGTCTACCTCGTTTTGAAGGAGAGTTCAAAGACACTGCCAGGATTTTTCTTCTACATTCTTCTTATTCTGTCTGCTTATGGTTTCCTCGGTTACCTCGTGTTCGGTACCAACGCATCGGCCTACAAAGACATGATCACGACAATGGAAACCCTATTTTCTGCTGTTCTCGGTCACGCAGGATTTAGGAAAACCAACGTGCCTGTCGGCGATTCGTGGATCTCTCTCATCTACTTCGTCACGTTCATCCTTATCGTCGTCTTTGCGCTGTCCAACATGTTCATGACAATCCTGCTGGACACCATGTCCCTGGTCGGAGATAATCCAAAGAATCTAAACTACAAGGAAATCGAGCTGTTCGCCTACATGTGGGAATCAGCCAAGACACTTATCACGGGGAAGAAGGAGCCATCGGGACTCGACGCCACAAAACGTGGATCAGGGCTGGACGATAAAGATACTGACGAACCGTACACCTTTGAGAACTTTGGGTTCGGAGACGGTAAGCTTAAGGAAATAATATACACGCTGAGTGTAAGAGCATTTCAGTTAAGTCACAGTCTACAGGCTGGTAGCGTCAAGGGAGAAACTAAGTGGCGCCAGGTGTCTAGATGATAGAACGTTTCAGTTAAGTCACAGTCTACAGGCTGGTAGCGTCAAGGGAGAAACTAAGTGGCGCCAGGTGTCTAGATGATAGAACGTTTCAGTTAAGTCACAGTCTACAGGCTGGTAGCGTCAAGGGAGAAACTAAGTGGCGCCAGGTGTCTAGATGATAGAACGTTTCAGTTAAGTCACAGTCTACAGGCTGGTAGCGTCAAGGGAGAAACTAAGTGGCGCCAGGTGTCTAGATGATAGAACGTTTCAGTTAAGTCACAGTCTACAGGCTGGTAGCGTCAAGGGAGAAACTAAGTGGCGCCAGGTGTCTAGATGATAGAACGTTTCAGTTAAGTCACAGTCTACAGGCTGGTAAGCGTCAAGGGAGAAACTAAGTGGCGCCAGGTGTCTAGATGATAGAACGTTTCAGTTAAGTCACAGTCTACAGGCTGGTAGCGTCAAGGGAGAAACTAAGTGGCGCCAGGTGTCTAGATGATAGAACGTTTCAGTTAAGTCACAGTCTACAGGCTGGTAGCGTCAAGGGAGAAACTAAGTGGCGCCAGGTGTCTAGATGATAGAACGTTTCAGTTAAGTCACAGTCTACAGGCTGGTAGCGTCAAGGGAGAAACTAAGTGGCGCCAGGTGTCTAGATGATAGAACGTTTCAGTTAAGTCACAGTCTACAGGCTGGTAGCGTCACAGGCTGGTAGCGTCAAGGGAGAAACTAAGTGGCGCCAGGTGTCTAGATGATAGAACGTTTCAGTTAAGTCACAGTCTACAGGCTGGTAGCGTCAAGGGAGAAACTAAGTGGCGCCAGGTGTCTAGATGATAGAACGTTTCAGTTAAGTCACAGTCTACAGGCTGGTAGCGTCAAGGGAGAAACTAAGTGGCGCCAGGTGTCTAGATGATAGAACGTTTCAGTTAAGTCACAGTCTACAGGCTGGTAGCGTCAAGGGAGAAACTAAGTGGCGCCAGGTGTCTAGATGATAGAACGTTTCAGTTAAGTCACAGTCTACAGGCTGGTAGCGTCAAGGGAGAAACTAAGTGGCGCCAGGTGTCTAGATGATAGAACGTTTCAGTTAAGTCAGGCTGGTAGTCAAGGGGAGGCTAGAACGTCAGGCGTCAAGGATGATAGAACGTTTCAGTTAAGTCACAGTCTACAGGCTGGTAGCGTCAAGGGAGAAACCAAGTGGCGCCAGGTGTCAAGATGATAGAACGTTTCAGTTAAGTCACAGTCTACAGGCTGGTAGCGTCAAGGGAGAAACTAAGTGGCGCCAGGTGTCTAGATGATAGAACGTTTCAGTTAAGTCACAGTCTACAGGCTGGTAGCGTCAAGGGAGAAACTAAGTGGCGCCAGGTGTCTAGATGATAGAACGTTTCAGTTAAGTCACAGTCTACAGGCTGGTAGCGTCAAGGGAGAAACTAAGTGGCGCCAGGTGTCTAGATGATAGAACGTTTCAGTTAAGTCACAGTCTACAGGCTGGTAGCGTCAAGGGAGAAACTAAGTGGCGCCAGGTGTCTAGATGATAGAACGTTTCAGTTAAGTCACAGTCTACAGGCTGGTAGCGTCAAGGGAGAAAGGTGTCTAGATGATGGCGCCAGGTGTCTAGATGATAGAACGTTTCAGTTAAGTCACAGTCTACAGGCTGGTAAGGGCGTCAAGTGGCGCCAGGTGTCTAGATGATAGAACTAAGTTGTCACAGCCAGGTGTCAAGGAGAAACTAGAGGTGTCTAGATGATAGAACGTTAAGTCACAGTTAAGGTGGTAGCGTCAAGGAGAAACTAAGGCTGGTAGCGTCAGATGGGAGAAACTGGTAGCGTCAAGGGAGAAAAGTGGCGCCAGGTGTCTAGATGATAGAACGTTTCAGTTAAGTCACAGTCAAGGGAGAAACTACAGGCTGGTAGCGTCAAGGGAGAAACTAAGTGGCGCCAGGTGTCTAGATGATAGAACGTTTCAGTTAAGTCACAGTCTACAGGCTGGTAGCGTCAAGGGGAGAAACTAAGTGGCGCCAGGTGTCTAGATGATAGAACGTTTCAGTTAAGTCACAGTCTACAGGCTGGTAGCGTCAAGGGAGAAACTAAGTGGCGCCAGGTGTCTAGATGATAGAACGTTTCAGTTAAGTCACAGTCTACAGGCTGGTAGCGTCAAAGGGAGAAACTAAGTGGCGCCAGGGTCTAGATGATAGAACGTTTCAGGTCACAGTCTACAGGCTGGTAGCGTCAAGGGAGAAACTAGAGTGGCGCCAGGTGTCGAACGTTTCAGTTAAGTCACAGTCTACAGGCTGGTAGCGTCAAGGGAGAAACTAAGTGGCGCCAGGTGTCTAGATGATAGAACGTTTCAGTTAAGTCACAGTCTACAGGCTGGTAGGTAGCGTCAAGGGAGAAACTAAGTCACAGGCCAGGTGTCAAGGGAGATGATAGAATGTTTCAGTTAAGTCACAGTCTACAGGCTGATAGCGTCAAGGGAGAAACTAAGTGGGGCCAGGTGTCTAGATGATAGAACGTTTCAGTTAAGTCACAGTCTACAGGCTGATAGCGTCAAGGGAGAAACTAAGTGGGGCCAGGTGTCTAGATGATAGAATGTTTCAGTTAAGTCACAGTATACAGGCTGGTAGCGTCAAGGGAGAAACTAAGTGGGGTGAGTCGTCTAATGGATAGGCTGAAATGCAGAAGGTCGTTGTTTCGTCACACGACACTAAGATATTGTACTTGTGCTTGATGGTACCCTTCCTGGCGCTCTGGAGTAAATAAGCGGTTGATAGGGATCGGGCTCTATGTAATGATTAACTATTACAATGCGTATCATTTGAGACTTACGATGAAACAGGCATAAGTCCAGACTAGTGCACACACACGCGCATGCAAGTTGCTATACTGGTGGAGCAGTCTGAAAACACATTTCACCCTACCTCACTTCACCCAACTTAACCCTACCTCACCAATGAGCGGCGCTGGGTGAGATCGGGCACCTGCAACCATTGTGCATGACCTACAGCATGTCTATTTACACTGAACATACTTGTAAACAGTCAGTTCAGTCACGCATGGATAGACTTAGACTCATCATTGTTACTTTTGTGTCTCTGATAAGTTCTTAATTCGTATTGCATGGGTATCTTTCAGCCCACGACCGGAAGATGCAGATGAAGATCGATCTGGCGGCAGCGTTCAATGTGAGTGCCAAGCCGGCCTACAAGTACTGATGATAGGACACAATGGGGATGCACCATGTACATAAACTAAAGTGTGTATTGAAACACAACAGTGGTTACTGCTGCTAGGTCTGGTGAGTCCATGAGTCTGTGGACTTCAGGTTTCACTTAGTGGACTGCTGTGATATAACTGATACTGTTTACCACTAAACATCTACCGTCCCTCTATTCTTGTATACACATATTATATTTTCTTTAGTCCAAACTGTTATTGTTGAATATTTATGAACGTTTATTGTGTGTTCACAACGATAGTGTAACCTCGTTACCACGTAAAGTGTAAACTTAAGCAGTTCTTGTCGAGTATACTGCACATGTATTAGACACTATTTATTTATTTATGTACATACTTAAATAGACACTCTTTTTTGTAAATATGGGAAATTAAGGCCAATTTCAATTTGATATAAAGAAGTCACTTTTTAGCTGAAAGTCATTTTGGCGACTTTGTGATTATGGAGAAGCCATGTACGTTCTACGAGAACATTAGAAACCAGAAAGATCAATTTAGGTAAATTTTTCAGTGAACATGTTTTGCTTTAGATTTTTATCTCACGCATATGAGGTGTAAAGGTCGAATTGATCATATGATTCATACTACTATAATTGTAGGTCACAAGAAGAGTAATCTCCCTTTGATAGCATACAGCATGTAGGTGCAGTTGCAGTTCTTGTATCGCCGAGTGAGTCTATATTACTACCACACAGTCGTACTTTAAGGTCACATGTAAGATGTAACGTAACCAGTGAATACATTTACACTTGATGTTGTTGTTACAATCACTTAGCGTTGGTATTTGTATTCTGCAATGAAGTTTCTAATACTTCACAAGATGGAAATCTGGAGCTGATACTTAATTCATGACATGTGAAATACCAATTAAAGATTTAATCTGTGAAGGAATAATCTTAAAACAACAGATTGGGCCAATTATCTATGAACAATTCTTTTGATACCTCTATATTTGTTTTTCTGTGTTGTCAGTGTTTATTATCATGACTTTTCCCATGTGATAACGTCGTCACCAGCTGTGATATTACCGTAAATCCTTAGCTGTTCGAACTAGTAAAAGTTTGCCTTTTTGGCTTGCATTTTTTTGTGATATAAAATATTTGACTAAAAGTTGTATCTTTTCAGTGTATTATTTATCAACTTGTTTTTAACACCTACTTTGACAAATACTTTTGTAAGCTATACTTCATTATTTCCCTTCAATAAAGGCTATATAGCGCTACACAGTCTGGTATTGGTATTGTTATTGTTCGTGTTATTCATCAAGCCTGTATCGATCGATGTATTTTTGAAAATATTGTTCCTGTGTGCTGTATTGATAATCAATATGCATAATATAGGGTTACGGTTAATCATATTCTGTGTGCGCATCACCATTGGCGGTTTGATATTCTGTCTGGTCAGCAGGTTGTTAGATCGAGTGGGTTTCATTTATAGAGCTTTTAACAATATTCAAAGAAGTACCACAACAAGAAACTACTTCTGAGCCCAGTGTCAGATCGTAACTGGGTATTGCTGAGAAACGTGGTGCTACTAGCCTACATGCCACAGGCTTCAGTACAGAGCGTGGTACTACTAGCCTACATGCCACAGGTTTCAGTACAGAGCGTGGTACTACTAGCCTACATGCCACAGGCTTCAGTACAGAGCGTGGTACTACTAGCCTACATGTCACAGGCTTCAGTACAGAGCGTGGTACTACTAGCCTACATGCCACAGGCTTCAGTACAGAGCGTGGTACTACTAGCCTACATGCCACAGGCTTCAGTACCGAGCGTGGTACTACTAGCCTACATGCCACAGGTTTCAGTACAGAGCGTGGTGCTACTAGCCTACATGCCACAGGCATCAGTACCGAGCGTGGTACTACTAGCCTACATGCCACAGGCTTCAGTACAGAGCGTTGTACTACTAGCCTACATGCCACAGGTTTCAGTAGAGAGCGTGGTACTACTAGCCTATATGTCACAGGCTTCAGTACAGAGCGTGGTACTACTAGCCTACATGCCACAGGCTTCAGTACAGAGCGTGGTACTACTAGCCTACATGCCACAGGCTTCAGTACCGAGCGTGGTACTACTAGCCTACATGCCACAGGTTTCAGTACAGAGCGTGGTGCTACTAGCCTACATGCCACAGGCATCAGTACCGAGCGTGGTACTACTAGCCTACATGCCACAGGCTTCAGTACAGAGCGTTGTACTACTAGCCTACATGCCACAGGTTTCAGTAGAGAGCGTGGTACTACTAGCCTATATGTCACAGGCTTCAGTACAGAGCGTGGTACTACTAGCCTACATGCCACAGGCTTCAGTACAGAGCGTGGTACTACTAGGCTACATGCCAAAGGTTTCAGTACAGAGCGTGGTATTACTAGCCTACATGCCACAGGCTTCAGTACAGAGCGTGGTACTACTAGGCTACATGCCACAGGCTTCAGTACAGAGCGTGGTACTACTAGGCTACATGCCACAGGCTTCAGTACAGAGCGTGGTACTACTAGCCTACATGCCACAGGTTTCAGTACAGAGCGTGGTACTACTAGGCTACATGCCACAGGCTTCAGTACAGAGCGTGGTACTACTAGCCTACATGCTACAGGCTTCAGTACAGCGTGGTACTACTAGCCTACATGCTACAGGTTTCAGTACAGAGCGTGGTACTACTAGCCTACATGCCACAGGTTTCAGTACAGAGCGTGGTGCTACTAGCCTACATGCCACAGGCATCAGTACAGAGCGTGGTACTACTAGCCTACATGCTACAGGTTTCAGTAGAGAGCGTGGTACTACTAGCCTACATGCCACAGGCTTCAGTAGAGAGCGTGGTACTACTAGCCTACATGCTACAGGTTTCAGTATAGAGCGTGGTACTACTAGCCTACATGCTACAGGTTTCAGTAGAGAGCGTGGTACTACTAGCCTACATGCCACAGGCTTCAGTAGAGAGCGTGGTACTACTAGCCTACATGCTACAGGTTTCAGTATAGAGCGTGGTACTACTAGCCTACATGCTACAGGTTTCAGTAGAGAGCGTGGTACTACTAGCCTACATGCCACAGGCTTCAGTACAGAGCGTGGTACTACTAGCCTACATGCCACAGGCTTCAGTACAGAGCGTGGTACTACTAGCCTACATGCCACAGGCTTCAGTATAGAGCGTGGTACTACTAGCCTACATGCCACAGGCTTCAGTACAGAGCGTGGTACTACTAGCCTACATGGCACAGGTTTCAGTAGAGAGCGTGGTACTACTAGCCTACATGCCACAGGCTTCAGTACAGAGCGTGGTACTACTAGCCTACATGTGACAGGCTTCAGTACAGCGTGGTCAACGCGGATTATCTGACCATAAAGAACACTTCGAACTTAAAACCATACACGGTAATCATTTCTCCATGGCGAGAATCATCAGATTTGGTCAACAAAGTAGAGGTTGGTGATTGTTTTCTGTAATAGACTGGACAATGTACCTGATCATGTTCATGCGTCACATTAGTTTAGTAGGAAGACGGTTGACCCGTTAGGCCTGGCTGCAGTCTATTTCCATGTTCAATGTCCGAGTGTGCCCCGTTGTTGACACGGTCCTAGTGCATCGGAGCCATGATATTTTACACACGCTTCGAACAGTCATCCTGCGATCTCGGGGTTGAACCAAGCTGAGTATGGTTTTACGCCGTTTTTAGCAATATTCCAGCAATATCACGGCGGGGGACACCAGAAAACCAAACGAAGACTGGAAGGTGTTCTTACAGCATGTGCAGATGACGTTAACGACCCTCTACCGATGTATGACGTTAACGGCCCTCCACCGATGTATGGTGTTCAGCCCTCTACCGACGTATGCTGTTAACAGCCTTCCGCCGATGTATTACGTTAACAGCCTTCTACCCAAATTCGACGTTAACGGCCCTCCACCCAAGTATGATGTTAACGGCCTTCCAATGATGTATGACATTAATGGCCCTCCACCAATGTATGACTTTAATGGCCCCCTACAAAAATAGATGACGTTAACGACCCTCTACCGATGTATGACGTTAACGGCCCTCCACCGATGTATGGTGTTCAGCCCTCTACCGACGTATGCTGTTAACAGCCTTCCACCGATGTATGACGTTAACGGCCTTCCACCGATGTATGATGTTAACAGCCCTCCACCGGTGTATGACATTAACGGCCTTCCAATGATGTATGACATTAATGGCCCTCCACCAATGTATGACTTTAATGGCCCCCTACAAAAATACGACGTTTACGGCCCTCCATTGATGTATGACGTTAACGGCCCTCCACCAAAATATGACATTAATGGCCCTCTTCCGATGTGTGGCGTTAACGACCCTCCACTTATGTATGACGTTAACGGCCCTCCACCAAAATATGTGGCTCTCCAACACACAAGATTTTCAGGTTGGGACTTCTTAATATTACCATTCATACACAGCCATATTTCCACAATGGCGTTCATGTCAGATGAAGCTGTCGTAAAATCTGGCATAGTAACGCCATAATCCTGTAGCCCCTGCTTGTGGACGGGCACTGTCTTGATGCAACCAACATAGCCCCCGAATGACAACATTGGATGAGCGTGATCAAGTTGTGCATTTCGACGTCGGTTGGAGGAGGAAACGTGATTTATCGCTGAACCAAACGCGTCGCTAGTTCCGAAGTCTCCATTCCTGTACCCTGTTGCACCATTGGACACGTCGTGTGTAGTCGTGTCAGGACAGGTCCAACTTTTGGTCGATACGCTCCTTTGAAGACCAGGCACCTGTCCTGCAGTGTCCGTTGCTGTAGCAAATCGGTGATGTAGGTGAAACACCCGGATGAATCCGTCCTGAGCAGGAGTGGTCACTCTTGGTCACTTCTGGGACGATCTTGGGTCCAATTGAAGCAGGTGTATCGATACCATAATCGATATATGGTGATGTGGTGGGCGTTGAAGTGTCTTGCAACGACAGACTTGGACTCCTCTGCTTCCAGTAGCATTCACTCTTGGCATTTTGTATGTTCGTGTACGTCGTAAGTTTCGTAATGAAATGATGAATTTGGTTTGGCCTTTTTTGGTCGATGTCTTTGCTCATGTTTCCGACACATTGCACGTGCTTTAAGTAGAAAACTTTTTTCTGCATGCACTTTTGATGCATCGTTGTCATTTTATTGACAAACGATTACAAACACATTTATCGACCGTTCCGTGGGATGACGTGATCGACTCCGGTGGGCCCATACTGTGCAGCACTGGCAAGATTCGAAATTGGCAACGGATTCTCTTTACTGATGAAAGCCGATTCCAGTTACTCAGAGCAAATGGTCGGGTTCGAGTCTACCGCCGTAGAGGTGAGAGAACAGGACCTTGCTGTATTCAAGAGACATTTCCATTTAGTGGAGGCAGCCAGCCCAGCGTACCCTGATCACGTTTTACGTCCCGTTCCTATAGCAACAACGACATGTCATGTTCTAGCACGATAACGCCAGACCTCATACCCCTATACTTTTGTACAGAACTTTCTTCAGGTGAATAATGTTAATGTCCTGTCATGGCCAGTTCTCTGCCCAGACCTCTCCCAACTGAACACTTGTGGGACCACCTAGACTGGCACATTCGTGCATGTAACCCACCTCATGTCAATCGACAAGCTTTGGTGAATGCACTCATATAGGAATGGTATGCTATTCCGAAGAACGTTATTCGGCGATTGATTAACTCTGTTCGACGTCGTGTTCAAGCATGCATTGATGCCTATGGAGGTCATACCCATTAAATGACACTCAATTGTGTATAATAATGACTCATATGACAAATCTTCAAGTCATTTCATCAAGCTGTGATGAGTGCTGTCCAAAACTGCAAATTCAGATTTGCCTCGGACACTTTCCCCGCTTAAGGTTCTGTACATTCCTCATGTCAAAAAGACAATTATGTACATTTTATGAATTTCCATTGACAAAGGAATGGTTGAACAATGAATTACATATGCATTGACATTTCTTCTTGTTATCTTTTGCCAGAGACAATTTTTCTTTTGGTAGAGTTTCTTTTGCCCGGCAGTTTATAAAAGTAAACTCTGTTAGTTTCTGAGACTGAGACAATTCAAGGAAAGCCTTCGAATTTTTTAGAATTGGTATAAATTCCACTTGTCTCAAATACCTCCTGTGATAATAGATATAGTTACTCCTTGACGGTGTTTAGGACTTTCCTTAAACTGTGAGTCAGTGATTTTCTA